GGATGTACTAGGGTTTGCAAGCGCTTCAGAAGTGCTGCTTGAAGTCATTTGGGTATGATGCTTCTCTGTGGGGTGCAGGGCTGCTTGAAGGGATGCTGCTTGTTGACAGCACATGCTGAACCTACTGTCAATCCTGTGCAGATGGCAGAGGACAAGACGGGCTGGCGGTGCCCGGTCCCTGACGATCCTGTCGACTCTGACATCCTCAAGGATCACGCTACCATCATCAAGAGGTGCCACGCCTGTCACAACGAGTGCCTTCGCTACTCTGCAACAGGGAACGTCACCATCTCAGGAACAAAGTTCCATGGCACCACCCCAGGAGCCCGGGAGTCGGTTGTGGGCTTCTTCGTCTGCCAGACCTGCCCCCCTCATCCGAAGTCGTGGCGTCACGGGAGGCCCATGCCCTACCGCCGGCTGTGGTGCAACAAGTGCCTGAAGTTCCTCATCCCCGGGGCGTTCAGTTTGGCCTTCAACCACAAGCCGGATGGGTCCTGGACACAGAATCCAATCAGCTGTTGGCACTGCAGCACGTCGGGGATTAACCCAGAGATGCGGGACTGTCTGAACAGCTGCCCCAAGACCCTCTACAATGACATCAAAGCCCAAAAACCCAAACGCAAGCCGGTGACAGCCCCCTCAACCAGGCCTAGCAAACAACCCCGCACCTCTGAGCCCCCCATCTTGGCCCCTTCCCTCTCGGTTGTAGACCCCGCAGCCCGCCTGCAGGAGAACTATCAGCAGCTGGCAGCAACCGTCAAGGAGCGGGGGCTTTTCACCAGCAAGGCCCTGCCAGAGGACTTCCTCTTCTTCCTGCCTGACTTTGTGTTCAAGGGCAACGACTTCGAGCTCGTCGAACCAAGCCTTCAGAAGAAGCGTTTCCCCAAAACTGTCGTCCTGGGGTGTGCAAAAACAACCAATGGGAACGGGGTCCTCATGTGCACCTCCTGCTCGGAGCCCCTCTGTGTTCACGTCAGCGTGCTGGAACGGCTCGTGGACGTGACCAAGCTCAAAGCCCCTGTTAGCGAGAGAAGGCTGCCACCCAAGGAAGAGCCGCCGGCGGAAGAGCCACCTGAACAGAAGCCAAAAGCCAAGAAACAGCAGCTGTCTAAACTGGGTTTCAAGGCCACTGAGGACTACTGGGCGGTGCAGTTGGACAAGGAGAAGCGCTGGGTCCTCTGCGGGAAGACGGAGGACGGTACCTGGGCCTGTCAGAAATGCAAAGGAGAAGGAGCGTGCAAGCATGCCTGCGAGGTCACGGGCCTCCCCTACCTGCCTCCGGTAGTCACGAAGAGGTGAGCCTTTCTTACATGTTATTATAAGGTTGCCTTCATCATCCATCATAGAAGAAGTGCTCAATGGTGACCCCGCGGTTGGGCACGTGCGTCAGATGGTACGTGGGGCGCTCAAGGTACACGTTCATTCTGGCTTCCCATGTGGCCTGGTCACTGATGACGGGCACCCCAAACTTGTTGTACTTGAAGCAGCCTGAGTGCTTAGTGCCATCAGTGGATATGAAGCTGTCTGGGTTGAATTTTAGCTGCACTTGGGGCCGATTGCCAGCATCCTGGAAAAGCTCCATGATTCTTTTTGATTCGCATGAATAGTTGGCTGCAGAGTGCTGATTCTCGTCGCATTCCAAGTGGACTGTGTGAGTGTAGACATCCGCAAAGATGTCTGCCCTCCGAAAAGAGCACCCACCCTGAAGCCTCTTGTCAAAGGTGACTTCCTCTGTGTCTGGGAGAATGCCCGCGGCCTGGATGTAATCCAGGAAGTGCTTTTCCTTGATCTTGTAGTTCTTGGAGACCTTTTCGTTGGGGAAGAGGTACACGAAACAGCGCAGGCAATAGCCCTTGTAGCGCTTGTTCACTACCGTGCCGCAATTGTTGTGGCACGTTTTGCTCACAACATTTACCATTTCCTCCAACTTGCAGGTACTCACGAGACCCCTCGTTGGAATGGGCCGACATCCCCCCAGAAACTCCGCCCCCGGTCAAACCCAAGTCCAGGGAGACGACTGTGTGCGACGCCTGCCGGCCGGCACATGCTGACGGCATCCCGACGCACCAGTTCCATGGCTGCAGCCACCAGGGCAGGCGCGTGCACGTTTGCACTGAAGCTTGTGCAATTTTCCCCTGTTCCCCCATCCCCAAAGCCCAGCTGAGCGACGAGGGAGGGCCTGTGAACCGACTGATGCAGCGGGAGATGCAAGAGGCCGCTGCAAAGGGCATCTTCAGTGAGTCCTCCCCAACCTCCAACGTGGCGCCCTGTGGGGCCAGGTGGTTGCGGGAAAACCCCAAAACTGCCCCGTTCTACACTGAGGCCGACACTTCGAAGGTGGCCCTCTGCGTCTGGCGGTGCAACGCAAGTTGTTGCGTTTTGCGGCCGCACATTGACGAGATCTACTTCCAGCCCCCGTCTGAACTGCGTGTGAGCCACAAGGTCCTGGCACAGGAGACGAATCTGCTCTACAAGGGCAAGACCTTCAAGCTGCTCGCTGAACGTGCTGAGGAAGAGGGTCTTCTTCGCCCTGGTGAGCAAAGCAAGTCAAATTGCACCCGTCTGAAAGCTCTGAAGCCTTGTTCTCACCACTCTTCTCTCGTGCAAAAGAGCTGTGAAGCTTCTCCCTTTCATGTAATAGAGGCCTGTGCAATTCCAGGAGCATTGCTGACAACATCTGTCACATCTCGAATGGCACGGCCTGCGCACATACACGGATGACGAGCGTTTTTCACAAACTATCTCAGGTTGAGAGATGTTAGTTTAGCCGCCCTAGGGAGACCTTCCGAAATCTCTGTGTATCCGCGCATGCGCCTCTGCAGTTGAGTACTATATGCATCAATGCTTCAGATTCTCCACAGACTGTCATCTTTTTGCAGGACGGGAGCCGCCTCTGGCCCGAGACGCCTTGACGCGCTGGTTCCAAGGCTACCTTCGCACAATCCTGGCAACCGCACCCCGCCCTGAGCTTCCCCCACAGCCAGGCCCGAATCAATGGACGCCTGCCCTGCGGGAGCTGCTGCGAGAGAGCCCAGTGCTTCTGCTGGAACCCGCTGACCCTCAGACGCTTGTGGGTCGGACCTTCTGGAAGCTGTTCTCGGCGGACCAGCAGTGGTGGCGGGGGCGTGTGACCGGCTATTCTTTGACTTCTGACAAAGGAGAGCTCTTCCCGCATTACAAGGTGCGTTCCAGGATTGCAAGCATTGATGCCCTGCTTTTGCAAGTCAGGATTCAACTCCGAGACCTGCTCTGCCTGCAAGGCCTCCGGGTGACAATGCGCAGACAGTACGATGAAATCCGAAACACTTTCCTTTAGCAGGTCGAGTATCCCGGGGACGAACAGCGCGAGGATATGACCTGGCGCGACCTCTGCAACCGGCTGAATCCACTGGAGGTAAGGACACATCCAAGGGAAGCAAGGGAACGGCGTCAGAAGCTTTGCATCAATGGCTGGGTCCTCTCTGGTATTGATTGCATCTTTTACTTAGCAAGGGCCGGCATTAGACGCTAAGTCAAGCGGTCCCAGGGTGTCCCTCAAGCGCACCCTTCCTTGCAGGAGGGTGACGATCAGGATTGGGGCCCGCATCCACGTGAGTGGTCCCCCCCGGGCTGGCGAGACGGCGCCTCAAGGGTCGAGACAACGGCACCCTCTGCCGCGAACCAAGACGTTCTCGCAGACCACCATCAGAAGCCCTGGCCCACCTGCCCCATCTGCAAGGAGTTCCCAGAGGCCCTCTACATCGACTGCAGGGAGGCGCACATGAAGCACATATACAAAGACCCCCATACTGGGGCCTACGTCAACGTCCTGCCCATCATCTACCCCTTTGCCAACAGGGTCGCAGCACTGGACATCAACCCCTACAGAGCGGATTGCTGCTGTCACAGGCCGAAGCAGACAAGCGACAACAGCTCCATTATGGGTGCTCCAAAGGTCGTAGCAGGGGCGCAGTTGCGGAAGCTCCTGAAGCAGTGGAGCGGACACATTCCGGTGTCGATGAAGTACGAGCGGGGGAAGAAGGAAGCAGTGCCCATCCCTGTCCCTGATGCCCAGCCTAAGCCTCTAAGTGTGGCGGAACGCGAGGTGCGTTCTCGTTCCTTCTATGACTCTGTTAAATTCTTGTGGCAGGCACACTTTCTGTCCCTCTTTCTTCAATTGACTGTAAAGCTTAGACTCTCTTACACACTTGTCCCATCTTAGCACTTCTCGTACACTTCTGGTCCCCTTTGCTTCATTGACTGCAAAGCTAAGACCCTTGTCCTAAGCAGCACAGAACTGACGAGAGTCATGACCTGAACTCTGCAGAAGCTCAGCAACCTGGCCCCATGCGTCTACAAACTCGTCGACTACATCGACCGCAACCACGCAAGCCTGTGCCCCAATCCCGCGTACCGAGCCCTGTTCTACCACCTGGGCTTCCTGCACAGCGACGCCGAGCTCCTCAGGCACGGTGCTCAGGATACGGTCGTGCAGATCCTGATGACTCTCAAGCTGTCCTCAGGAGCTCCGCACATAGAGATTGAGTGCGAGTGGGACCAGGCCCTGCATACTTACGCCCCGTGCCTGCAGGCCGTCCTGCTCAGCGGCAAGGACGGCGATCAGAGGCGCAAAGGGTTCCGGAAGTCTGGGGACACGTGGAAGTCCGGGGAGGTTTGGAAGGGCACCGGCTACAAGGTAAAAGCCCAGCTGCTGTACGCCCTCGCCCCGCTGCTCCAGCACCTGCTTCGCCTCTCATTCTGGGAGACGGACTACACTGCGAATCACCAAGCGTCCGCGCTGCTGTGCGAGGCCCTGGGGGTGGAGAGGGGCGAGATCTGCTGGGGGTGTCTCCCTGGGGATCGCGGGTTGCAGCGGGTGGGGAAGGACGTCTACTTCGACAGGGTGGAGGAGCTTGTTGACGAGATCAGGGAGCTGATGTCGGGGCCGTGCCGGGGCACCTCGGACGGGATCCTTGCAGGGGAGGCCTACGTTGCCAACCAGCACCGGCTCAGCTCCAGCAATGTCTACCACCGGGTATTCCGCGACGTCCCGCAATACGCAGGGAAGGATAGAGCTAACGGGAAATGCGTGGGTGGTGAGAGGGTCGTCAAGTGCAACGAGGAGACTGGCGAGACGACCAGCAATGGCTGCCCAGAGCTGGTCTCAGACGAGGTGCCAGTGAAGGGGGTTCGGCGGCAGGTACGATACAGTGCGCTTTGCCGGTGCATTGCAGTGCACGCTCTTGCATGGGAGTCCACAGCTGCCTTTTGCTTCAGCTTCCAGGTGCGTTCATTCATGGTGTAAAGGCACTATCATCAATTGCTTTTCACATTCAAAGGGCTTTTGCCGCTGTTATCTGTTGTCTCTTTTGACAAAGCACAGCAACTGATAATCTTGTCATTTACCCCTTGCAGAAGGGGGACAGAAGTGACACGGATGGGGTGATGTTAGTCACGTGCAAGCATTGCTTCGTCTACTATTACCACGTCCTTCTCCGCCACGAGTCTCTGCGTGACGTCTTCACCTTCCTCGTCACCCGCTTCCAGCACCGGCCTCCCAATTTTATCATCTACGACAACGCTTGTGAATTTGCTCGCTACTGCAGAGCGGTGAGGCATCTAATTTGACTTTGTCTCCCGAACCTGTGTCTGTGCAGCCACATCTTTGGACCCTGGTATCAAAAAACAAGTGCTTTCTCTCTCAGCTCACCCAGGGGCTGCTGTAGCAATACAATGTGTTCAGCCAAGGTTGCTAGCAATCCTTTAAAGCTTCTTTCTTTTGCAGCGCTGGCCAGAGTTCTTTGCTCACACCATGTTCTTGACCGACAACTTTCACGGTGTCACCCACAAGTGCTCTGACGAGTTCAAGTACCATGTACACCTTCTGGACAAGGGCCGCGAGTTCCAGGGACTCCCCAATACGTCCGTCCCCGAGCAGATCAACAGTCTCATGAAGCGCTTTGACAGCACACAAGCTGCCTCCACCATCACCAACGCCATGCTGGTGTACGACTACTTCATCTACCGGCACAACATGAAGCTGCATGCAGAGTGGTTGGCAAAGCGCTGGGCACAAGGATCAATAGCCGTCTAGGTGAGTAAAATCATATTGCTGTGTCTTGAGACGTCATAGTAGAGCGTATTCCCTGTTTGCTGGAGTGTCAACGTTGCTCTTATTATGTCACCTCATCAGATTGCATCATCATTTGTCTACAGGGAGGCCAGATGAGTCTGCATCTCCTGCCGCCACTCGTCCAGCTTCTTCTGAGAGAAGGGGACCTTCTGTTTCTCGCCCCCCTGCTCCTCTGGGGGCAGATACCTCTTGCGCTCTTTGGCCCAGTAGAATAGGGCTAGGTAGTCTGGGATCGTAGGCTGACGCCCCTCGTCGAGCAAGTAATCAAACAGACGCTGATCGAAGAGCCCCAAACCCTTGTCACGTGCCTCTCTTCCGGCCTTCTGCAATTCGAGAAGGCTCTGTAAGCGTGCAGCATTCTTTTCACGTTTTCCAGCCCATACTCGCTGCTTGGCTCTCGAGCTATCATCCCAAGTTGCCCTCAGGTCATTGATAAGCCACTCGATCCCAGGGATTGGCGGGCGTGTCCCAGCCACCCTTGGATCGTGGTCAGATGGTGCTCTCTGCACAACCACGTCCAATACAGGGATGTTATGCTCGAAAGTAGCCTTGCCCACACGCATGTGCATCCTGTAATCGATGCTTGTCTGGCGCGGCCGTCCGCCCTGCTCCTTTGGGAGATACCTGAGCCGAAATTGCAAATGATCGCCGTCTCTATCCTGATATATGAACCCCAGCGGTATGCCACACAGCACCTTGTGCGCATCTCTAGGCAGGATGTTTTTCCGGGAGTCGATCATCATGGTCACAGTCTTGCCGCATACATGGGTGGTAAGCTCCACCACTGGCTTCGTGCTCTGCCCGTGCCCAACATAGATCTTCGTATCAATGTTCTTTGAGGTTTTGATCCTGTTATTGAAGCGCCGCATGGCATCGCCGCCCGTCACAAAGATCCTGCCCAGTCCTCTCTGTGTCAGCTTGTCGTCGAGTGCAGCAATGACCGCGTTGAGTGAAGGCCTTAATGATTCAATCAGCTGCGCTTCGCCCTCATCCAGGGCGGCTGTGCCTCCTAGGATATGACTCAAGGCTCGCAGCATCAACCTCTCAATCACTCCTTCGTGCTTCTTTGCAAATTCTGAACCACCAAAGACCTTTGAGAAGGTGTCCACCAATCCTTGATACCATGCTGCCGCCGCCGTGGGGCCCCGTGTCTGTTCGAGATACCTAGCAATGACCTTGCGCCTGATGTCATCTATGTTGAATCCTTTCTCCTTGCGCTTTGACTTGATGAGTTCCAGAAAGGTCACAATCCCTTCCAAGTTTAAGAAAGGGCCATCTGAGTAGGCTGCTTGGAAAGGGGCTTTCAAAGATGGGTTTCCCAGGTTGACAACCTGCACTTCAATTGTAACGGCACGACTGCGCACCGACTTCTGGCTGCGCGCCAAACTCGCGGCCGCGCATCGTCCGTTATTATACGCTATCGACTTATTTGATATATCGAATCACTACACGACACGTGTCTGGGTTACTGCTTCACCGCGTGACCGTCCGATAAGACCCACGTGCACCGCGCGCCTGGAAACCGTCCGATAAGCTTTTT